TTCTGGCTCCTCCTGAGTTGTCATGAGTGCGTGAATTCAATGGTATTCGAACCCCCCCTCCGAGGGTGGTGGCGGGGGGGGGCAGTGAGTTGCAGCCATGTGAGCTATTGAAATTTACCATCAGTCATTTGCTGCTAATGCTTACATATACCATTTTTGAAACAAACATGTACAATGTTTCGGTTCTTTCACTTGTGGATCAATAAAAGCCATCTGGGATAGCCAGACGAATGCAGAATGATTAAGCAACACCGGTGCAACAACTAAAATGCTTCACTGTATCCCAGTGACACCATATTTTGTGAAACAGCTGAAATAAGTTTTAGGGAATTGTGTTTGTCTTATTAACGGCACGGATGGTCCCACACTTTCTGACAAGCGAAATCAGGAAATGCTAGACTAAATTTTGCACAAAGAAAAAGGCTAATTGCACTTATTTTTGAGCTTCTTCATCAAGTCGCTTGGTCCAGTGGAGCACCGTGTACCAGCGATCAGAGCTACTCACTCTGGCCTGCAATTTGACTCGCCACTTGTTTCTGATAACAAACGTCAATCAGCTCTTATTGGGATCTTTTGCTGCACATAACGTGGCCAATTATTGTGCGTATTTCATGTGATCTGATGGAAAACGGATCGAACGAAATGGGAAATACAAATATTCTTTGATGTGTCCCGACCCCTGACAAAAAAGGGGGACATTTTGCGGAAACTTAGGGACTGATAAGAGCATGTGTACTGATGGTGAATGCAGACAGTTCTTCAGCCCCCGAAAGGGAGTAAAAACGGTTTTTTGTTGGATGAAGTGTCAGCAGCTTATGTACTCGCATCTCAACACCCGGTATGTTGTTTGCCCATATAGGCTTCGTCCCGCTGATAAACATGGTGCATTTGCGGACAGCAGTGATGAAATCAACCAACGTATTCGCTAATACTTGGTGTTTTTGTCTTCGTCTATCACTGTCTGGGAAAAAAATAAGACGGGAAGTAATAATTCCAAGCAACAATATTCGACACCATATGTCTGGTTGCAGTTTACCGTACATGGTTCGAGTTACGTAAGCTGAAAACACGGCCGACTTGTTCGTTAATGCGATAAAACGCTTGGACTGATTCGGACCATTACGGCCGGTACACTCACAGAGATAGTAGAATATTATAAAACAGCCAGAGTCGGTATTTCTCAATTGCATCGACTGAGGTTACACTGTACTAAACAATAGCACATATAGTGAACTTTGTTGCGTAAAAACCAAGTGAAGTGTGAGGTAAAAAGCTAGGAAGCACCGAACATCTGTTTTGACGTCCCTGGGCCTCATCAACAGCTTGTTTGCGTCTCAAGTGTGAGGTCCTGGGTTCGATCACGAGTTGGGCTCAGTGAAATAGACAAATAAAGTACCTGATGCCCGAGTGCAACACATTTGGTACTGCGTTGGCTGACAACGAAATTATCTCGTAGCAAGGTTAGGTGGCTTTTTTAGGGCTCGAACCTCGTCCAGTAACGATCTCAGCGAGTGTTAATGACTTTGACTGAAGTCCTTTGATCAGAGTCACCTGAACAAGAACCCCGACGGTGCAAGCCATTTCATTGAAACAATTTACTGAAGTTTATTCTACATTGATGTTATAACAATTTAACCGGATATTATCACAAGGAGAAAACCACAGGAATCGCAATTCCACTTCTGTCCGAGAATCGGAAGTATGAAATAATGTGAAATATTTATTTTCTAAGGATATAAACGAATAGTTATTCGATAGATTCAATGATAAGCAGTCACCAATAAACGTGATCGAATTTAAATTGAGAGTCTCTTGTGGAAGTGAAACAACTTTGCGATCAGTTCTATCTTGAAATGAATCCGTATTTACGTTAGGTTTGCCGATCAAGCGAACCACATGTGAGCAACATGTAAATCTACTCACCCAAGCATGATTGAGTGTTTAATTTTGTCTTATGCAGTCTGTTCGAGCCAATTCGGGTCTGTGTATCCAGGATTACAAATAAAGTTGCTTTGGAATTTTGAAATAAGACTTCGGAAATGTTTACAGATCTACTTACTACACTCCAGTCGGTGAAGTCGATCAAGGGCTAGGGTAGAAGAGTTTTTCACGTGACCCCGAACTCAACCCCTTACTATGCTTTTTTCCGCAATTACGTGATTTCCCTTGTGTGTGTATATATGCTCCTCAAGACCGTGAACCGGGTGCACGTTCTTTTCATAAACGAAAATATCTCTGTCTGTCTTCTGCCTATTCTCTCCGTTCGATGAGTACTTTGATGAATTTGATCTGCGCAAGCGATTGCGTTGAATCCACCTATTCGTATCAGATCATTGTGGATCCTGTTCCATTGCTTTGCACTATGCTTTATCGCATCGCCCACATCCCTTTTGAATCGTTTTGCATTGCGTTGTTCGTTGATCACAGCGCCAAACCGAACGGCTTCAGCTCTTACGAAATGTATACAAGTGACTCCCTTCCACTCTCTCGCTCAGTCATACACACACAAATGTATGCTGAGTTTTGTTTCTATTTAGTAATTGTGCATACTGACAACAAATGCGTACTTCGTGGTTTGTGGTAACCACCCATTTTTCTCCGCATTGTGTGCGTAGGTGTGCGTGGGCGTATGGGCCAAAACAGTTCGGATAGTTCCATCGCATTGATTATCAGTAGCACTGATTGAATGCGATTGTAAAACACTCCCGGGGCACATATTGAGTCAGATTGAGCGCACGAATTGACAAATGGAGCGCGCGCAGGTTGTATGGTAAAGAGGATGGAGTGGTGATTTGGGCGATCGGATAAACCAAGACAACATAATGTCAAACCATGCCGATGGAAATTCAGTCGAATAGATTAATCCGGCTCTGAGTTGGTGATTTGACATCTACCCGGTATTGAAGTGTAAACAGTGAGTGTGCGCGTGTGAATGTATTGAAAGGAATTGAAGGTGATTAGGATTGAGATAGTTGATTGTGTGAAGTTGGTGAAGATGGTGTGAAGTTTTTCACATGATGAAATTCACATGTGGGGGTTTTATTGCTTTATACTCAAGTGTTGAGATTGTGAAAATTCAGTAGCCTCGATGGGATTCGAACCCACGCATGGGCGCCGCCGACGCTTCTGTACAGCGCACGCTCTATCGGCTGAGCCACGAGGCCATAACTATCAGGGCAGTCAGCTTACATACCAACTGATGGATGCCACATGCCTCTGTAAATTGGATGGGTAATTCGAATGTGAAAAGATCGGTGCTATCGGCGTCGCCTCGTAGCTCAGCTGGTAGAGAGTGCGCTGTTCAGAAGGGTAGGCGGCACCCATACACGAGTTTGAATCCCACCGAGGCTACTGGATTTTTCACAATCTCAACATAAAACTTCAATCTGCCAAACGACTGTATAGTTATATATATATTTACAAATGAAAGATCTGAATAAGGAGGAATAAGAATAAAATCGCAAGTGACATCTGTTGGAACCATTAGTTTCTCATATGGAAGAGCACTAACGGTGATTTCGTGAGGCTGAATTATGAGTGACCATGCAGTCAAATCGGATGGCACTCTGCACACACACACACACACACACACATACACACACACAAACTGAGATACACATTCCATACGACCAACCGGAACATGAGCATACAAACAAATCTGACCAGACACATGCCATGCGATTATCTAAATGTTGGAAAGCTAGCGTGCAGACCATGCCAACAGCGATTGGACAGTCAGGAATGAACCAATCATTGAGTCTCACTTGTTTGCTTCATTCGAGTACGAATACTAGTCCGATTATCATACATATATGGAGAGCAATTTGAAGCGAACAGCAAAATGGCTGAAGTGAGTTGGAACCGAATACACCTAAAAAATGATCACGACCCGGTGAAATATGCCGGAGTGAAAGAAGGATAAAAACGGAATAACGACAGGAGCAACATTCTACCAAGTGAATTGAAAGAACTGCTAAAACGTGATAAAAGTAGTTTATCTTTACGGATTTAGGAACACCAGTTGACAGCCAAGCGTCCTGATTCCCTTCTGAGCAATCTCGTTTGGCCAAACAAACAAGCGGAATTAAATTCAGTAAAACAACGCGAAAAAAATTGAAGCTTAATCGGTTTCCCAGTGGAAACTCTTCATCGAAAGATCGCATAGTTTTTCAATAGACGAAGTCTTCCTTATTGGAAAAACCTAATTGTTTCTGCATCGGGAATATGTCTGGTATATAAATGCCTGGACCATCGGAATACGTTCGTACGCAAACTGACCCCAAACAAGTCCAGTGAGCGAGAGACCAGCGGCGGTCACTGGCACTATTTAATAGCAAATTGAAATTTCTGTTTCGAATATCATCTTGAACATCTCTATTTTTACACACACATACACACACACACACACACACACTTCAGCACTGTAGTCTCCTTTGTCTTCGAAAATGTCTATACTAGCTTTCCAATCCGTGAGTAGCATTGCGGTGCACTTCTGACGTCAACAAGTAATCATTGTTATGGAAGTATTTCCGTATATATATATATATTCAAAGGATTCGACGGCGAAAAAGTAGTACACCGTGGTAGAATTAAAAGCCGCGTATGAGAGATGTGGTACACACAAGCCACAAGGCCAAATTGGAATGCGCTTAGGATCAATCTAGAAACAAGTGGGTAACAAAATATCAACTCAGAACAACACAAGAATCATAGAACGACTTTTTTCAATTTGAGTGTTGATGATTCCCGTGTGACGTTTGCTCGAAATTAGTGTTGAGAATACGTAAGCCCAAGTGACTCCCACGTGAGATCGAGATCCAAAGTCACCACACCACTAATGTTTTGTTACTTTATGTAAGTCAAACTTAGTTTACAGAGAGCATTGCTTGTTCAGTGGTGCGTGACGACTCCAAATATCACATTAAAATCCAACGTCACAGGATACGCAAATAGCTTATGGCGAACTGAGTGCCAATATTTGGACAAAAATGTGTCAACTGTGGCTCATTTCTTCTGCCTTTCGTACACAAACACAACGATACAGACTAGTTCCCCTCAGCAAAAGAAGCCGCATTTCATTTAAGCAATGACACACTTATCAGTGGCTCTCAATTTCATTTCTCCGACGCGGTTTCCGATGCCATTTTTCCGACGCATCTGTTTTGTTTCCAACATATCCAGCCGTAGTAACCAAAGATCAGTACCATTTTGTAATATTCTTGTTATTTTCATAAGATGCGTTAGAGAGAGTGAACAGTCGTAGTCGATGATGTCCATTCGTACTGTTACAAATCAGGTATAAAGAAATCAGCGACTGATCGTTAACCATCGACGACCAGGATAGTCTTGCATCATGCCTTGAGATGGAAAATGAGGAATGCACAGTGACAGTTTGATTCAGAGAGCCGGGATGGGGCTTTAGGGGGGGGGGGGGGGGCAACCATTTATCGCGCATCAGCGCTCACGTTTTTATTGTTCCAGTATACGCTGTTGTAAAAATTGGGTTCAGTACACATGAATGACGATATGGCTCAGCCTCAACCTGGGTGCGCCATCGGATCACCACCCTTGATTGATCGATTGATTGAAAGCAACTCGGCGCGCAGCCTGGCACGAGCTAAATGAATCAGTGTCGATCTAAAGATGGCACTGGTTGCACTCTAGGTTCAACACTTGAGATTCAAAATATATCAAACTACATACTCAGTCGTACAAATTGAGCGGAATGCTTTACGATCGTTCTTGGATGAGTAAACAAGCATGGATGGGATTTGATTAGGCAAAGTCAAACTGGAAGTTATATGATGGGGAATTCTTACAAGCGGTTGCTTTTCTTGTCCCGTAGGTAGCGAAGGGATACGACCGTACATTTTAATGCATTGAATTCGATGTCATTTTCGGTCGACAATTAATAAGCAACACTGAGTGTTCTTTGCAGTTTCAGTGAGTCCTTAGGTTTTGTCACCGTTTTCCATATTTTCAGATTGCTTGCAAACGGCGGTTGACTGCTTTTGACCACTTTTCTCAGGCCAGAAGCAGGTTATTGGTACACGATCGTGTGCGACAAAATCAATTTTGGGGATGAAGGGTATTTTCCAAAGTGACTTATCAGGTTATCTGCAACAATGGATTCCATGATTGAATAATACGGGAAGCAGGCTAAAAGGGCTGGCGGTAGGCGGTTTATCTT